GGGTTTCCCTGCCATGATTTCAGAGTTCTTGTTTCCTAATAAATTCAAGATGATGATTTTACAGGAAAAATGTTTTAAATTAGCATTTAAAATGTTCCACTCCAGGTTACTTAAAACAGTTGAATGAATATGAAAGTAGAAGAACAACCAAGGCCTAGATACTTGGGCTTGATGCAACTATGTTTTCTGTTGATTAATGGACTAAAAGAAAAAGTACACACTACCAGAATATGCAGCAATTCAAAATCACATCATGACAGACTATAACAAGCATCTACTAAACCATATACATATCTTCAAAAATAATAATGTAGTTTTTACAGCTCATTAGAGTTTTACAATGAAAGCAGAACTGTAGGATATTCCTGAATAAACACATTTTTAACCTTGCAGTGATGCAATATCTTTAGTAGGTGTTGGGTTTTGTGACAGCACTCATGTCATATCGAACTTGAAAATGTATGTCAAATGAATTGCTTCCAAAGAACACCAACGCAGCAATATCAGGTTTCACCTCTCTCACAGGACAACTCAGAGCCCCATGTCTCTGTGTCTTTACAAATATGAGCTTTTAAAAGCAATGTATTTCACTGGGTCTGCTCACTTCTCTATTTAGCTAGTTCTATTACAGTTAAACTGTAACAGGGATTTATATCCTATTTGCCCTGAAAACTAAACTTGAAAATCAAAACCAAACAAATGGGACTGGGACCTCTGCTGGGCAGATAAGGCCTGGGCAATGCCCCCAGCAGCAGGGGGCTGAAGTCAGCCCGCCAGATGATGGCAATGGGATAAAACACTTTGTCCTTTCAAATTTCCCCAACATGTGCAGTCACATGCCATAGTATGACATCAGCAGCTGATGTGAGCTTGCCCGGTGCTGGAAACAATGCTATCACTGTATTCTTATCACTAATGGGTCCCAGATGAATGAGGTAGATTTTGTAAGAAGAGAGAGTCACAGACTAACAGAATGCTTCATTGTTAAGCCAAGGTTTTATCTATTTACAGGCAGGCTTATTTATTTTTGCATAGACTTCACAATACATAACTGAGCCACAAAGTGGAAATTTTGGCCATGATCCCGAAGGCGTCAATAAAGAGGCACAAACAAACAGCACAACAGTGAGAGAGGAGACCACATCCCCGGCCTCTCCACTGAAGTCCTTTGTGTTGAGTGGTATCTTCAGGCCCTATAGCAAACAGGGACTGGACTCACAGGAGAAATGTGGTGCCCCTGTCCAAACTACAGGTCTTCAAAACCAATGCTCAGTTCCCACCTAGCCCTGGCAATGTCTATATCCCCAGACACCTCAGACTGTTGTAACAAAGTTCTCCTAATACAAAAATATACGACTGATAATAAGGACTTGATTATGGCTTGACTGGATTTGGCATCTAGTCTAGAACTGCTGGATGTCTAGCTAGATTCCTGACATCTGAACAGCAATAAGGCATTCAGAGAAGTGACTTGCCACAGTTCCCTTACCAGCCCTACCCACAGAAGACCACGACATGCTCCATTTCTAGTTCCTGTACGTGTGTGAATTATACTATACCAAGTAAGAGAGCTCTCAGTCTTCCATATTTCAAAAATACTTAAGAACTGCACTTGGACCTTCACAGACTGGACAAGCATTCTAACCTCCAGCATGTAGGATCAAGCCTGGGAAACACACTATAAGGACAGGCTAGCATTAGCAGAAAGAGCAAATTTCCCTGACCTCTCCCCAAAGCAGATGTGGAGCTGATAAAATTCAGCCCAGCCAGAGCCCTGCTTGCCACTTTCAGCCCAGTGCTCTGCTCAACACAGCTGGGAAAGCTGAAGAGCAAAACCAGTGTCAGTGAAAAAAATTTCAGGTATCAACATCACCCATATTTCTTCATCACAGTTTCTTTTGGGGATTGGCCAAGGGTTGAGTCTTTTTTTCGAGTAAGAAAAACCTTTTATCTTCGTGGAAATGCACTGCCTAAGGTCTGAATTTGGGGTTTAGGCTGAACACATACATAGGATTGCCAGGTATTTTGGTGACCTAGTTATGGCTCTGTAGTGAATATTCCTTTGTAAAATAGTAAGTCATAAAAGAGTATCAAAACTGGTAAATTACGTTTCTTGAATAGCAATAATGGACCTGAAAATTAATCACAAATTTTCCTGATGTTTAGAATTAGACCTTCCTTGGACCTCAGCCAGGCAGGTACTGCTACTGCTGTGATCACTGCATTAAAAAAAAAATCATGCTATTTTGTCCATATCAATTCAGGCACTGGGCTTCCAGTGAGAAACAAGTTAATTTAACAGTAAGCTCATAATCTGCTCCAAAATCTTAAATTTTCTCCCTAATTGGATATGGACCCCAAAGTAGTTCTCTGCAGCAATGTTACTCAAACTCAGCCCGCACAGGGCTGTTCCAGCAGAACGACCTTACACACAGTGCTGCATCGAGCCTGGCTCGGCCTCCGGACCATCTTAAAACTGTAACTGCTCACCGGCGTGTGGTATCCACTGGGATTCAGGCCAAGCCTGGATTCAAAATGCGTTCCTTCCACCGCCCCAGCCAGGAGGAGTGTCTGGACGAGATGAAAGGCAAATTACCCCCAGATATTGCAAAACCTTAACTCCAACGAGCAGTTTCTCTTTAGGATACCTGCTGAACCTACTCAGGCGCGAACACGAACACCCTCTATGCACACCCACCCGCCCGTCGGAGCTCCATGCCGCAGGAGAGACACTGTGGAATAACCCCTGGACAAACCCCCTGGAGCAGCAGGGCCGGACACTCAAGCACGTTTCTCAAGTGCCCACCCGTCCGTCGCGCACCTTCCCTTTGCCCTCCCGGCGGGGCCCCTAATCCCGGCAACATTCACAACATTCACACCGGCCCCCGCCGGCCCCGCAGCCCCGCCGGGCCCCCCGCCCGCCGCCTCAGTACCGTGCACTCGGGCCGCTCCGCCGCCACACCGCCCCCCCGCCCGGCCAGCGCCGCGACACTGCCCGCCCGGCCCCCGGGAGGAGGCGGCCGCTCCTCCCCTTGGCCCCCGCCGCGCCCGAGCTGTGCCCACTGCCCGCCCCGGAATTTGCGAACGCGGCGGCCGCAGCTGATGCGCTTTCCCGCTATCAAACTCCATCCCTAAGCCCTAGGACCGG